GAGAGAGAGAGAGAGAGAGACCTGGAAACTTGAACACGATACCTCAAAGCAATTAATAATAATTACAACTCCTACGTGATATGATATAGATATATATATATGATCGTTATTAATACTATTATTAATATAGTTACATGTAACCATTTAATGTAGTTAATGAGATTATTTTCTATTATATATAGTGTAGTGCCGCTATTACATAATATAACTGTATATAAACGAAATAATACACACTACCTATTTACTATTCGTGGGTTGTAGTGACCCACACATGGTGTGCTTACGACATATAAACATTTGTGCAATCACATGACTAGATAACTAGATAGATCAATAAGACAACAAAGACATGTATATGATCTATATAACGACTCTAACCACGACCACCACAGAGCGGCGTAAAAAATTCGGCTAAGAGTCGAACGATTACAAACAAACCCTGAAGGAATCTAATCCCTAGAATAGATCTATAACTTATTACGTACGACTATTGAAACCGATCCAGGCTCGTCACTACAATGCAGAGTGCGAGGGAAGAATCAGAACAACATTCCAAAATCTTCAAGAAGAGATGAATAATGTGCAGGGGTAGAAATTAACTTTTGGACACGGGAGTCCAACGGACTCCCTACCCTCAAAAAGAGGGAGTCCGCAGCAAAATAAGGTCCGCAGTCTAAGGTTCAAAATGAAAGATAGTAACAATAATTCGCATGTGCTTATTTTTAAGATTCATGCGGTTACACGTCTGCCAAATTTTCTTTGGACTTTTACTGAAAAAATACGGTAATTCCGCGAGGCCGTGCTCTGGAATGAACTAGTTAGAATGGCAGAATTTTCAGGGAGTCACACGGACTCTTGCATATGACAAATCAGGGAGTATTTGACTCCGGACTCCCGTTAATTTCGCACCCTGATGTGTTTGTTAACCACAGCCCACGACGACAAAATCTCAGTCGCAACTACGAACTTTTACTCACCGAGTAATTACCTACCGTACATGACACCACCCGGATATGCCCTCTCGCTCTCAGCAACCCCACGCAAAAAATAAGGGACTGGTAAATTTAGATTGGATTGCTTCCTTATGAAAACCATGGCATAAAATATTAGGAACTGGTCAATATAAATATTGGATTGCTGCCTTATTAAAACCATGACGTAAAATATTAGGGACTGGTAAATTTGATTTCGATTGGTTTGCAGTCTAGGAACCACCATGGCCGTCAAATAGTAGGGACATGCAGGCAAGTTTGATTTTGATTGGATTGCTGCCTTGCTACCATCCTGGCATGGAAGGCAGAACTCTTTCTCTGAACTTTTCAGCGAAGTGGATTAATCATGACATTTAATCATCAGGGGCCGGTTTCACGAAGCATGATTAACTTTAATTATGATTAAATCACTAATCATGATTAACTTCCCATACTTAAATTGAAGTGACTGTTTCACGAAGCATAATTAACTTTAATCATGATTATAAGTTAATAACAATATTTAATTCTACTAAGGAGCATGATTAAATCCACTAATCATAAGTAGTTGCTAGTATATACTAGTAGTAGTATATGTAGGTAGTACTAGTATAATTATATTAAGTACGCTGCAGATTTTACAATTGGAAATTTTACTTCAATCTTTTCCCAAGGAAATTTAAACTCTAAGATTAGATGTACTAATTTAGTCATTATAATTGCAAATTAATTAATTCTTTTTGATTTTCATGTACCGAATTTGCAGATACTTTTGGCGTTGTCCGCCATTTTAAATACAGTGTAATTGATGTAACTCATGTCGGCTAATTATGTGATTAGTTAAACATGTACTTAAATCGCTTCGTGAAACAGATTGTTAAGTATGATTAACTAATTATAATTACAGGAGGTTAATTATGATTAGTGATTTAATCATAATTAAAGTTAATCACGCTTCGTGAAACCGGCCCTAGTAGAGTATATAAAGTACAGAGAGGGGAACGAGGAAAATTAATATAGATGTTCATTAGTCAGTATGTAAGTACTTAATCAGTACGTGTAAGTGTAAATTTCAAAGAGAGGGGACAAGGAGGAAAATTCCTCCACGAAACTTCCAATGGCAGGTCGGTCGGAGCGCGGAAAACAAGAGAGCGTTTCGCGGGCGGCGCACGCAGAGAAAAGATGCAGACGATCAGAGACAACGGTGGGACTCCATGCTGGTTAGTGTGCAACGCCGCTCGGCCGGTGTCGCCCTCTATACGCTCGCCGTCCGCCGGGACGCAGCCTCGCCTTTGAGGCCCCCTCCCACTCGAATCTCGCTCCCGGCAGCGAGTGCTTGAGACTCGAGACGCGGCTCATGACACAAGACACGACTCGATAAATGAGTCAAGACACGATTCGATACATGAATCGAGACACGACTCGCAACACGACTCATGACACGAGACGCGACTCGAGACAGGACTCGCAACACGACTCATGACACAAAACGCGACTCGAGACATGAATCGAGACACGACTCGCAACACGACTCATGGCACAAGACGCGACTCAAGACATGAATCGAGACACGACTGGTGACACGAGACGCGATTCGATACATAAATCGAGACATGACTCGCAACACGAGACGCGACTCGAGACATCAGCCACAGCCACGAGACTCGACCCCCCCTCCCCCTCCCCGCCCCGAACCCGGCAATCGGCAACGCGATAGAGGACGGCATCGAAGACACACGGGGGCCGAAAAAAGACATGGCGGCCAAGCGGCGAAACGACTTACGCTCCCAACCTGGTCCGAGGCAGTCGCACGACGGCACCTCCTCCTTGATGTTGAACTTGAGACGCTCGTAGTCCTCGCCGACCTTCCCCAGCGCCGCGCGAGCGACCGCCTCCGCCTCCGCCTCCGCCTCCTCCTTCAGCGCACCTTCCCCGCCGCTGGCGCCCTCTGTCTTGATCTCGCGTCCGTCGACGAGCATGGTGAATCCGTTCGGCAGCTTCCCAGCGGTCGTCGTGGCGACCGCAGGGGACGAGTCGGACCAGAGTTGCCGCACGGAGGCGGTGGTGGCGGGCGGGGATGTGTCGGACCAGGATGCACGAGCGGAGGAAGTGGTGACCGGCAGGGATGGGCCGGACCAGAGTTGGCGCACGGAGGCGGTGGTGACCGGCGGGGATGCGCCGGACCAGCGTGCGCTAGCGGAGGAAGTGGTAACCGGCAGGGATGAGGCGGACCAGGATGCGCTAGCGGAGGAAGTGGTGACCGGCGAGGATGTGTTGGACCAGGGTGCGCGCACGGAGGCGGTGGTGACCGGCGGGGATGCGCCGGACCAGCGTGCGCTAGCGGAGGAAGTGGTGACCGGCAGGGATGGGGCGGACCAGGGTGCGCGCACGGTGGCCGGCGGGGATGTATTGGACCAGGGTGCGCGGTCGGAGGTGACCGGCGGGGATGTGTTGGACCAGGGTGCGCGGTCGGAGGTGACCGGCGGGGATGTATTGGACCAGGGTGCGCGCACGGTGGCCGGCGGGGATGTCACGGACCAGCGTGCGCGAGCGGAGGTGACCGGCGGGGATGTGTTGGACCAGGGTGCGCGGTCGGAGGCAGGGGTGACCGGCGGGGATGTGTTGGACCAGGGAGCGCGGTCGGAGGCAGGGGTGACCGGCGGGGATGTGTTGGACCAGGGTGCGCGCACGGAGGTGACCGGCGGGGATGTGTTGGACCAGGGTGCGCGCACGGAGGCAGGGGTGACCGGCGGGGATAGTTCAGAAGCCGCACTAACATGCCTCCCCGACGACGACGACACCTCGCCGAACCCTCTACTCGTCGGTGCGGCCGGTTTCCGCGGCGACGGATGCTGCTCGCGGTTGCCGGGCGACGTTTTCCAGGTCGTAAACGCTGCGAGGTCTTCCTCTCCGTTCAACATCGCTTCTATGTACTTCTTGCGGTCGAAACCTTCCCCTGGCTTCTCCCCTCGCTCCACTGGAGGGAGGGACCCCAGATCCGTCGCCGCCAAGCCCGCAACAGTGGCGCCAACTGGCGGCGAGGTCGGCAAGGCGGGCGGACCGTTCGTCGTCGACGCCGGCGCACCCTGCTGGATAGAACTCGCGCGATCGTTCTCCCGCGGTGCCTGACCCGTTTCGTGCCACGCCGCGTAGCCGTCCCGCGTCGTCGCCGGCAGCCGCGAAGCGCCGCTACCAGGGGGAGCCTCCGGCCGCGACGACGTCTCGGACATCGACGCAAAGAGGTCGGCCATCGAACTCTGTATCCGGTTCGCCGACAGTCCTCCTCCTCCTCTTCCTCCTCCTCCTCCTCCTCCTCCTCTTCGTCCTCCTCCTCCTGTTGTTGCTGCGACGACGGGAGAGTCCGGAAACATGTACGGATCGTCCGCTGCGGCGCGGTGCTGCGTAGAGGTCACGGAGGGGTCGGCAGAGGTCGCAACAAGGTCGGCAGAAGTCGCGGCAAGGTCGACAGAGGTCACGGCATGGTCACCGTCGTCGCGCTGCAGCCTACGGTGTTCGGCGAGCGCGCGGCGTAGCTCCGTGTATTCTCGCGCCGCGCGCGGACTCTTCTCGCCGACGCAGGGGGCGCCACCGCCGGACGTCGGCGCCGCCGCGGCGTCCGAGTTCGTCAGCATCGCCTCGACGTACCGCCGCCGCTCCTCGGCCACCAAGCGCCTCCTGGCGGCGGCTGGGGACGACGTCGGCATGGCGCCGAGGTCAGGAAGCTTCCTGTGGTTGCTGCCAGGGGGCGCCTCCGTGACGGCAGCATCCGCGACATCAGTTTTCTTCTTGCGCACTCGCTTCTTCTTCGGTTTCGGCTCGGCGTCGCCGAACTGGAAATCGCGGAATGGCGGCTGCAGCGGCGCCCCCTGCAGGGGCCCGCCATCGCCATACATCTGCTGCATCCCAGGGAACACTCCTGGCCAGCCGCCGCCGGCGTACGCGTGCCCGTCGCCGTGGCGACCGCCGGCGGCGTCGTCGCCCCTCGCCTTCTTCGCGGGGCTGCCGAGAAGCTGCGAGTCGTGGCTTCCTCCGTGCTTCCCCGCCCCCGCCGCCGCCGCCGGTCGCCACGGCGACGGGCGCGCACGCGTTGCGGCGCTGCTGCTGCCGCTGCGCGATCATGAGCCGGAGGCGGTCGCTCGTCGACGCGTGCGACGGTGGCGCCCCCCGGTGCTGCTCGAAGTACGTGTGCAGGTCGCCGTTCATCAGCTGCGGCGGCAGCTCGACGTTCGGCGGAAACGGCATGTCGTACTCCTCCTCCTTCGGCGCCCTCTGGCGGCCGCCGCTGCCGCCCCAGCAGTGGTACGGCGGCGGCGCCCCCTGCTGGCAGCCGGGATTCTGCATGGGTGCGTCGTCGCTGCCCGCATGTAGGTCGGTGCCGCGCGGATTCCGTCTCACGTTTCTAGTGGCGCCATCCTGTGACGATAAAAAAACGAGAGATATAGCGATGACGCGACCGTCACAGTTCCTGGACAAAATCGCGTTAAAAATACGTTTAGTCGATTTTTAATAAAAAATTTTTTACTATGCTTATAGTAGGTAGTATATAGTTAGGTTAAATTATCATCTAGGTACACATTACTAGGTTTATTTCTTCGTACGTTATTATTTATACGTATTTTTATTGGGTTCGCATAGGCTTTAACGATTCGGATTATAAACGCGCGATTTCCGTTCTTAAGTTCCTAGGCATTCATTCATTCGATTCATTCGCAACCCCCCCCCCCCGTCATTGGCTAACCCTCGCTGCGTGAAGCGTCGGGTTAGGTCGAACACGCGAGAATGCTCTATTGTTGGCGTTCGCGCGTTCGAACAGACAGATACGTAACACTGTTACGTAATAGGTAACGAAGCGGATGAGAATTAAGAAGGAGAAAAAGGAGAAGACATGGGGAGGTGGGTGGATTAGATAACGGGTTGTTGAGACAGTTCCACTGACACACATCCCCTTGGCACGCCGATATTTCATAACCACGCAGCACCCGTTCACTTGGTTCGCTTGGCTACAAGCTGTCACACGCAGACCCATAACCCAACCTAACACCCACACACCCGCACCTATTACCAAACCCATAGTCTCACACACCCGCACCTATTACCAAACCCATAGTCCCACACACCCGCACCTATTACCAAACCCATAGTCCCACACACCCGCACCTATTACCAAACCCATAGTCCCACACACCCGCATCTATTACCAAACCCATAGTCCCAACATGGGCCGGGCCGCACCTATTGACCAAACCCCATAGTCCCACACTACTCGCCACCAGGGTCCTATTCAACCTAGAACCTCCACTACAGATCCTATAGCCACGACCTCCTCTCAGCACCACGTACTTAAATCAAACACAATTAGTTCCACACGACCCGATTCGCGACCTCTATTACCGGGCAACCCATAGTCCCATCACACGCCGCTACCTATTGACCGAACACCCATAGTTCTACACACAACTCCGTGCAGACACACAGCTATTACCAAACACCAATATTCCAGCCACACTCGCACGCTATGACCAAACCCAATATCCCCCACACACTATCGCACACAGGTCCTAGTTACCAAACCCATATCCGCACACACTCCACAGTCTATTTACCTCCTTAAACGCCATTAGTCCCCACACACTCGCACAGGTCTATTAACCAAACGCCATAAGTCTCATACACACCGCAGCACGCACCTATTCTACCAGGGCAACCCACTAGTCCCACACACACGGCTAATCTATTTAGACCAAACCTCATCCATGCACACACAACCGCCAACTAGCTAGCCTTACCTAAAAACCGGCACTCACATCAGTCCTAACACAACCCGCACTTTACAAACCCATATGTCCCCCACACACTCGCACTATTACCAAAGCCATAGTCCCCACACACCTGTCCACCCCGCAACCTCATTACCAAACCCATAGTAGCTCACATACTACGTCACGCTGCACCTCTCTTACCCTAAAAAACCCATGTTAGCCCAGCCATCCCGCACCTAGTACCAAACCATAGGTCCCACACATTCACCACACCTATACCGAAAGCCCCATAGTCCCACACACCCACACATTAACCAAACCCATTATCCCACACAACTGCCCGCACCCTTATTATCCCAAACCCCATAGTCCCACACACCGACCCCGCACCTATACCAAAAGCCCATAGTCCTACAGCACCCGCCACCTATTAACGCAAAGAACGCCATAGTCCCACACACCTAAGTCACCTATTATCCAAAACTCCATTAGTCCCACACACGACCCACCTATTACCGAAACCCACATATCCCCACACGACCCAACGCAATCGTATTACAAAGCCCATAGCGTCCACACTATCAGCCTCGCACGACTATTACCAAACACCTAATAGCGTTCAGCATAGAACACACACTAACGCCTTTCGGCACCCGACCTATGTACCCCAAAACCCATAGTCCATTACACCCGCAACCTATTAACGCAAACCATAGTCCCGACACACTCGGCACAGGTCATTACCAAACCCATGAGTCCCAACACATCTCCCGCACCTAGTTACAAACCCATAGTCCTACAATCAGCATCGGCACCTATTTTACTGCAAACCCATAGTCCCACAATCACTCGCGACAGGTCTATACCAAACCCATTAGTTCGCCACACATGCCCGCACCTATTCCAACCGCCACTAGTCCCCTGCAACCACACTCTAGCTAACACTAACCCATCTGCCACTACTATGGCCCTGCCCTCGCACGAGCGTACTACTTACCAAACTTATTCACATCTAAACACCTAGCCCCAGCCCAAAAGAGACCCCGCACCCCATATTAATAATGGCCCGTGCCCCAAGTACCAGAAAATACCTATCTCCCACACCGGCACCACCACCAACCACCACCAGCTATTGCCCAAATCAAACTCCTCATAGCGAACATAGTGAACCTGACTATCAGTTCCTTTCAGAGTCTTGATGATTGTGAAAGAAAGTGAAGAGGAACAAAGGAAAAAGATCGATCGGCAATCAAGTGACAGCGAGGACCGAGGTGAAGTCGTTTCGGCGGCGGTAAACCGCGGGGCGATAATACGGTGAACGATGCGATGTTAACATTCCCACACGACATTTCAATCGTCCCCTTCGAAGATTCTATACCCTTCTCTCGCCGGACGGACGCGGCGCCACCTATTGCAAGCGTCCACGCGGGCACGAGCTGCAGCCGCCCGGCGACCCTCGTACTCTCACTTTCCACGGGTCGAAGAAACTAAAGCCTCCCCGCCCTCGCCGAGCCATAAATTTAGCGCGCGTGCGGCTAAACTACAACTTCCCTTTTCGGGAGCCGACGCTCGATACGCGGATTCCTCCGGCGGCTTGTTGGCACGCTGCCAACCCCCCCGGTCGCACACCGTCGCCCCGCGCTACCGCGATACGGAAGAGCGAAGGTGATCTGTAGTAACGAGGTTCCGTGAAGTTAATGCCGGGTGACTCTGCCTGCCTTCCTGGCTGATCCAATGAGCTTTGCTTGACCCTGTCTTAGCCAGAGGAGCCTGTTTGAACCCCATGACCTTGACTGACCCCCTGAACTCTGCCTGACCTTGACTCAACGAGAGGAGTCTATTTGAACCCAATGATCTCTGTCTGACCCCACAAACCCTGAACCCCACTATAGGGGCCTGTCTGAACCTAAGGTCCGTGCCTGACCCTTTCCACCTTACGTGGATCCATGGCTTCTGGCCATTCCCAAGAGACCCTATCATATGTGACCCCTATGTCTCTGCCTTAACCCTTGGACCCTATCTGATCCCTAGTTCTCTGTCTAAACCCTTAGCCCCTATGTGACCCCTCTAGAGTTCTCTGCCTTAACCCTTGGACCCTACCTGACCATTAGGTCTCTGTCTTAACCCTATGCCCCTATGTAACCACTAAGTCTTTGCCTCAACACTAGGAGACCGCTTGATCTCACAGACTCTGTCTGACCTCTAGAACGTTACCGTGGACCGCTCGACTTCTTGACCGTTTCACTGACCTTCAGAGACCGCCTCACTGTATTCGTATTGTCACCAGGGAAAAAAATAAAATTTATTTTTCGGGGGCTACTTTTCAAGCTCGCGTGCATGAAAATAGCACTCTAAAATTTGGTTTGCATTGAACTCTATGCAAATTTACGGGGGCTCTTTTTGGCATTTCGGGAGCTAATTCGCCCCGAGCCCCCATGTATTTTTTTCACTGATTGTCACTGACGATACAAGTTAGCAGCTGGAGTGCAGCAGCC